GTCGTCTACCCTTGGGCGAAACGTTTTATCTATAGGCTGCACATTTGAATGATGCAAGCTTATTTATCTGTTTCAATGAAGTATTTTCTTTAGTCCCGGAAATCAGTTAAGAGACTTAAAATTATTAGAGAAGGAAACGCCGTGCCTGTGTATTCTTTGTTGCAATTTGAAACCGAATCTCTTGGGGAGACGAAACTATTCGAGCCTGAGCTAGCTTCTCCTGGAAGAAAATGAAGATATCAATAAGTGAGCACTACATGTACGTGTTTGCATAGAAACTTATAATTATGAAACAAACAATAGTTTATCATTTCCCGAGTCAGATAATTATGATGGGCATGTCCTGGTAGGTTTAACCTCCATATAAGGGGCCCTGTTTTGCTCTGTGAAAAAAGAGATTTCCCTTCAAGATAAGCATGGCGGCCTAAACTTTCTGGTCTCTGTAATTCAAAAAACTAATCAAGGGAGCCCCTCGTGGACTGACTGTTTTTTGGACAAAGTGTTCCTGGTGAAAGTTACTAACTACAAAGAGGGAAGGCCGAAAGTTACATTTTAGTTAGTTAAAAGTCCTATTTCAAAAGCAAAAGGCTATGGTAGAAATATGTCGGACATTTAGGCCAATTACATTTTTGTGTAACAAACTAAACGTTGCAGCTTCGGATTTTTTCAGCCCCGAGCACTAATTAAAACTACTCTTCCAGTTCTTTGCTTTCCTTTCATCCTATCTCAGATAAAAGAAATTATAAAATAAATTGTTTGTTGCATCCCTGAAGCTTGAAGGATTTCATTTTTCCATTGTGTCAATATTTTATAAATAATTATTGGCGGTAATAGAGTGATACCAAAGCAATTTGTATCATTTATTTAAAGAGGTTAAATTGAACATCTATTTATCTATTATTAGTAGTAACTAAAAGTTTTAGGCTCTTAAAAACATAAAATTTTACATCTAACGACAAGCACTTAGCAGAGGGTGATGCGGTCTCTAATCACTCTAAATGGTTTTTTTCAGACTGTTTTAACCAATCGATAAACGTTTTTGCACGCAACTATCAGAAAAGTGGTTGGGGGATGACCTTAAGTTCAAAACATTTATAGTTTGAATGTAAAATATCGACGTGATTATTAAGATCAAGTCGTCTTTTCGACAGCCTACTATTGTTGCTTGCTGTTTACGTTCAATAGTCTTCGTTCCTTTTTCCTTGTTCTACCAGGAAATAGAAAAGACTTCACTGTCTGGGGCCAAGTCGACATCAAATAAATAAAATTGATAACGTTAAACGAGGCTTGACACATTTATCTTCTTTAAAATTTCTGGCAAAAGACCGTCTAAATGTATTGCCAAGATCTTAGCTCACTTTCTTCATAATCTTAAATGCAAACAAGATTTCATTAAATTAAGCTTGCTTAGTTGGTCATCAAATCCCGATTTGTGGAACATAATTTGTGGAACATAATTGCCAAATTTGGTTTGGCAATCTGATCTTCAGATAACGCTAATTTGCCATGCAATATAAAGGAAACTACCGATTCCTGCTATTCAAAGATTCTTGTTAGAGATACTAAATTTCTTTATCAGACAATTTAGCGAATCGTGTGCTATCCAGTTTTTGTTACTTATTTTGTTTACTCCATCAAGATTTATGCTGTTGGTTCTTTTATTTTATTTAAACATATTTGCAAATTACTGTTTCATTTTCTGAAGAATCTAAAAAACTTTTAGTTTCAATTATGGAAACGCATGTTTACTTGTGGTATCGTTACAGCGATAATCTACATAAATGTCCATGGCTCAAAATATCTTTGCAAGCTTGTAATCGTTCTTGATTTTTGATTAAAAAATTTCCATGAAATAGCTAGCTTTTACTTACAGAAAAATGCTTGAAAGCGACTAAACTTGTCTCCCCGCGTATGTCTCCGAACTATAAATTTTGCCGTAGATGCTTTACTTTTCACGTTTTTTTATAATATTTTAATATTTTATAATGTTTTGTTTTAAAATACTGTATGATATCAACATCCGTCTCGAATAACTTCCCAATATTTTGTCTGTACGTCAAATTACGTATTTTGTCTGTACGTAGGCTTTTTGGTTTATTGCTTTGGTGCTTGGTAACCCAAAGACTATATGACGTGTAAGTGACACACCAACAATGCCACAACTGCCACTACACTGCTTTTTTAAAAGAACACACTTGATATGAATACAGGTGCGAGATTCGCCAAAAAAGAACAGGAACAGGCCTAGCCTCCGATGAAGTATTTTATGAAAAACAGTTTGGTTTTTTTAAAGTTTAATCTCATGTTTGTAAAGCAGAAATTTAACAAATAAATTGATTTTATAGACTAGGATGAATTTTCAATATAAATGCAAAACGATAACCATGTACTACAAAACATACCATGCAAGACTGTTATTAAGTGGTCTTAGAACCAATTTTATAGCATGTGCGTTTAATGTAAATCATTGGTGAATTTAGAACAGCTTTAAGAAAGATATAAACATTGGGCCTAACATCAGGCAAAAGTTAACCCTCCCTTATAAAAAAAGCTTGTATTCCATTCTTTCATTTTTACCTTGTTGCTGACCCAATTTGACAAGTTTGGTCTTTCGCTTAGAAATTGATTAAACTGTGCCGTTAAGGATGTTTTTCAATTAATATATCCAGACCCAGTTCATCATTTTCAGTTACATTCAGTTTATGGTGTCTGCCTTCACGACATGGGTCATTGTCTAAGAGATCTAGGAAGGTGCAATTTGTATTGAAGCGTTTGTTGTGAAGTATAATACAAATAATTGATCCATTCCTTTAAGAAGTCTTTCCTTGTTCTTAAAGGGATAACTAAATTGATCACTCCTACTCCACTATGCGCAACTGACTGTGTTTCCTAATGCTATTGGATCGCCGGTAGAGATTAACCTTGAATTGATTTCATTGCAGCTTCAATAGTCGCCAAATCATATACTTTCTTTAGTAGCTGAAACTTAACCACATCCTTTAGCCAAAGTGGATTAGCTGAAATAACCCGAATTCTTATCCCTGAAGTTCAAGATTCGATCCAGTGGATAGAAAAGGTCTCTCCTTTTACGAACTTTTATTCAATGAAAATGCATATTTCTTTTGAGAATCACTTTATACATAACGCCTAGGTTTTCCTTCTTGCAAAACGTTAGCCAATAATAGCAGCTTTCTTTAGATTTTACAAGCTTTCATCGTCATATCAATTGGTTTGGAAACTAAATCGATTTCAGCTTAGTTGTTAAAAACCTAATTGCTTTTGGCCAAATGATGATTCTTGAAAAGCAGCATCACTGAACCCAAATACATGAATGAACCCGAAGAAAGCGTCTCAAGAAGAAGAGGGGATGTCAGTGCAACTGTGATGACAGAAGAGGATGCTAATTCATATGGCAAACACTGAATCAAAATATTATATAATTCTACATAGAGGCTTCGTTTACTAGCTCTTGTAGGTTTTTTTCAAATGCAGAAAAATATCGTTTATGAAAATGTTGAAAAGCAACGGGCCTAAGATCGATCCTTGAGGAATTAGTATACTGGTATCATCTTATACTACCTTTCAAAACACCCTCTTTATTTTCTGGCAAACGTTATTACTGAAAAGTAATAAGGTACTGAAAGTACTTTAGCTGCTCGTTCTTTTGTGGCTCTATTTGAACAAAACCTGTAATGAAACCCATCTCAAGTGTGCAAAGCTGCCTAAAAGAAAATAAACTTAGCACAGCAGCTGATGCAATTCTTATCTATCTGTCGCAGTACACTGGTAAATCGACTGCTTTGCTTGTATATCCGTATTCGTAAAACGTTTTTCAGAGCACTATAAACAAACTGTTCTTTTCATGTTTTGATGAAAAATGGAAATATCTTTGAAATGTTTTAATTTATAAGGATATAAATTGCTCTGCGTATTGAATAACAAAATAGTTAATAGCAAAATACGGAATTGTAGTTGTGTAACGCATATCTCGAATAAATGTATACGGAATTTTACGAAGTACTGGAGAATATTGCAAGGCCTATCCTGAAAGAAAATTTTTTAGAGGCATTGTTTGTTGTCAATTTTCTGTGAAAAATTTGGCTTTTATTAAAGACCGTCTCTTATGTACCACTGTCCAATGCTTGATGGCTTTAAATTCTAAAAATCCATCTATGGGAAGGAAACTTGCGTTGGCTGGTTTTCAAAAATTGTTACATTCTCAAGTTATGAAAAAGGATAAGCTTCCTTTCGTGTATTATCAAGCGAGAAGGTTTCTCTAAAAACTTGAAGCTTCAATATATTTGTTTTTATTTTAAAGCTAAACCTACAGCTGATCTCGACTGAACAGCGCTTTGCAAATTTTAATCAAATGTTAAGATCATTTTAACTGGGTTTTTCAAGCTTTGATGAACCAGAATCCAGGAGACAACTGTTCCACGTCAGTGAGCCGAAGAGAGGCTATCCAGCAATGCAGTAGTTTTGAGGAAGGCAAATGCACAGCCTGGCAAAAGTTGATAAAGTTAAACGAAATTAACATTGTGCTTCAGCTTTTCTTTTTTCCTGATAAAATGCAAAGAGCAAACAATAAATGGTTTGACAATAAATCAATATCTAAGAAACATTCATTCAAAAGATACAGTTTTTGGGCAAATAAGGCAAAATTTTATCCGGAAAAAGGTTGAGGCGTTTTATGAACCCAGTGCTGAACACTGCTAAACGCCACTCACTGAATAGAACTGAATAGGGTGTAAAAACAACCTTAAAATTTCACTTAACCTTGATGTTTAGTTATAGTGAGTGAGATGTTGAGAGCGCTTTAACTGGGCTTTGTTGTCCGTTGAAATTCGTAATGCACCAACAGATTATCCTTCAGGTCGTAACTGCGTGCATTTGCAGATTCAAGTGCATACTGCCATCAAATCTACTGTTTCACCATTTTTTTTACTTAAGCAAAGAAAAATTAACACTGTGTATAATCAGCTTTTCAAATTAAATTTTAGGCACTTTTGAAAAACCAACGACTACGACGCTATAAAGTGGTAATACCATTGGAAACAGAAGTATCTCAGCTGCAGGATTTATCCTCGTTGTGGAGTTTCAACATCTGGTTTGGCAGGGATTTCTGCTTGAACGGTTAGTGCGCTTGATTCCATCACAAAGGTGGAGAGGATTTGTGGTGATAGAAAGTGGCTATTCATTAGAAGTTGGATATCTAACTCAACATTTCTGGTAAGTGCATTGAACATAAAGGATCTCAATCTGTAATATTTTGGCTATGTCAAGTTGTCTGTCAATTTCTCCAATTTTTATAAATTATTGAGCCGCTACCAGCCATCGTCATATTTATTCCACTGATAGTTTATCAAGAAATATTTCATATTAGATATTGATATTTTAATCATTTATACAAATAACATGGTTTATGCTTACTCCTTTGTGCTTCTGCTTAATTTGCCAAAGCTTGCAAAAAAAGAAAAATTAAAGCAACCAACTTGAAAAATGTCAATTAAGAAACAAATAATTTTTCTGCATGAATGTTTTTTACAAGTAGCATTCGCTATATGAATTACATGTGGACTTCCACCGTTCCAGTAAGAAGATCTTGCTCTTTCTTAAATTGCCTGTCCTTAAATATATTGGGAAAATGTTTTTACTATGCTATTTGACAAATGTTTTGTATTTATTGAAAGAAAAAACGAGAGTGAGAAGAAATAGAGAATCTTTTATAACGCAGAAAATGCTGGATGGGAAAAAGTAGTGAATATGAGAGTTATATTATGTAACTTATTTTTCCATAATTCCAAGAGAATTAGACTCTTTCTTTGATTTTCTTTGATCTCTCTTAATCTTAAGCGTTTCAGCCTTAATTGAAGAGATGATCCTTGGATTGTCGTGCATGCTTCGCATGTTGCTGATTAAAATGCTAATACACTCGAAGCTGAAGAATTAACGTACGGGATGGTGGGTTGCAGCCTGCATGCATTGGTTGAAATCACAATAGACTTGCACCTCGAATTCTTCATCACTCGTTCCCTCGTGAGCTGAGGGAACAGGGCAGTGTAAGGGAAATTTTTAGCAATTTTCTCATGTTCTCCGAATATAATTTCTGAATGACTTCATGAAGCATCCAATACTTGTTACCTATAGAACCAGGTTCGTCTCTACGGAATCATCGAGTTTTTAGGTCGATTTGCAGGCTTCTCAATTATTGAGACATTACGTGTTAAAACGAAAGACCTGCTTTACAGAAATCGGAGGCTGTAGTGCAAAATATCGGATCCGACTTGATTGGTATTGGTGTACTGACTTCCATATTCTCAAGCTATTGACAATGTTTAAGAATCAGAAACATATCATCGAGATAAAGTTTTTATTTGCTGAGAGCTGAGATAAAGCATAGTTCAGTGGATGGCACCTACGTTTGAAGAATAATAAGGGAAAAGCCACCAAATTAGCCCCGGTTTTAGTAGTTCCCTACAGCATTCCCCTGTTATAGACAGCTACGGAAATAGCATATTTTTTATGCGTCAGATTCAGCAACAGCTGTTGTAACATTTTATTCTAGGTTCCAGAGCCCAAGAAAACGGGTAGAGAATGGAGATGAGAGAAACATAGAGAGAAGTGATGTAACCCTCTCTCCACACACACACACACACACTCTCTTTCTCTTCCTTTCTCTCCTTTCCCTTTTCTCCTCCAATTTTTCTTTCTTCCCAGTTTCTTATGCTCAGGTACCCAGCGTAGCAGTTCTTCTAAAATGCTGCAAGAGAAGGCCTCAGCCGCTTTCTCTCCTTTCCCTTTTCTCCTCCAATTTTTCTTTCTTCCCAGTTTCTTATGCTCAGGTACCCAGCGTAGCAGTTCTTCTAAAATGCTGCAAGAGAAGGCCTCAGCCGAGTAAGGCCCGCTACATATCACACCCATTTTTTATTCTTCATGATAGGAGTTAACTGCAAGCCACCGATTCATTGTGTTGCCAGAAACAGATGTTACGGTTCGGCTTTTCTGACAATCATGTCGCTTTTTCCATACGACCGTCTTTTTTCTTGACATAAATGTCACCTCATTGAGGCGGATTCTCTCTTTATCCCTCTCCATCTGCGTTATCTTTATTGGTCACAAGTAAGCATTTGTAATTCACCACGATAGCAAACCCCACAAGCTGGTGCTTTACTGCAAACTTTGTTGTATGCAGAACTTTTCACGAATCAGGCTTTTTAGTGTGCTGAAGCTGAGCTTATTAGCATGATACCTCTCTCCACACACACACACACACACACACACACTCTCTCTTTCTCTCTTTCTTTCTCTCCTTTCCCTTTTCTCTTCCAATTCTTCTTTCTTCCCAGTTTTTTAGGCTCAGGTACCAAGCGTAGCAGTTCTTCTAAAATGCTGCAAGAGAAAGCCTCAGCAGAGTAAGGCCCGCTACATATCACACCCTTAAATTGAAGAACATTTTTGAATCTTTATGATAGGTGTTAACTGCAAGCCACCGATTCATTGTGTTGCCAGAAACATATGTTACGGTTCGGCTTTTCTGACAACCATGTCGCTTTTTCCATACGACCGTCTTTTTTCTTGACATAAATGTCACCTCATTGAGGTGGATTCTCTCTTTATCATTCTCCATCTGCGTTATCTTCATTGGTCACAAGTAAGCATTTGTAATTCACCACGATAGCAAACCCCACAAGCTGGTGCTTTACTGCAAACTTTGTTGTATGCAGAACTTTTCACGAATCAGGCTTTTTAGTGTGCTGAAGCTGAGCTTATTAGCTTGGTTTGCATTCATTTTTTCTTAAATTTTGTTTTTCGCATACAGTCGACTTCTCCTCTTCACGCCTTTATAGCATAGCCCACGGGGGCTCGTTAGCATTTCAATAGGCAAGCGGCGCTGATTTGGCAACCTCATTAGTCATGTGCTCGCGTTTCTAATTGGCCTATTTCGGTCTTCAACTGGGAATATGTATTTCCTGGCTTCGTGTTTTTGACCTACCTTCTGACATTTTATACTCTGAAGAGTGTCAGACGAAAATCTAAAGCGTGACTCAAAATGTTTGCTTTTTCAAAGCCATTTGTAACTTTTGTACCGCGAAAAGATTGTTTGAATTTATTTATATAATTTTTAGCCAATGCAAGAAGCTAATTTCGCTGAATGAATGCAATCATTTCAGCCCATGGCTGGGATTCGCCACATGCTCTTTCTTTCTATTTTATTTATTTCTTTCTATCACAATGACTATCTTTATTACCCATTTCACTTTTTGCAACATTCATTTCTTCTTTTGATCTTTCTTTCTACCTTGTCACTTACTACTTACATATCAAACAACCTTTCATTATTAATTTCCGTCCAACGCTGGAATCTAGATTGTCTCAGGTTTTTAAATTGTTTTTGCTGGCTTATGATCAAGCATTTAGTTTATCTACCTTGGTCTTTTGCTTGCCACTGTTTAATTTCATGTATATATTTGCAAATTGAAAACATCTTTACATTGACTTTATTTCCTGACTAAAAAATTTCATTATCTCCGTATTTGTATAATCTTCTCTTGCTGTATTTTTTGGTAAATGCCTTAGCAAATGTTTGAGCGTCTCTTGCAAAACATAGTTCAAAATTAATCAACTGGGAAAAAGTGCGCAGCAATTATCGATAAAACAACTTGTTTCAACGGAATTTGGTATTTCTGATTCTCAATCTTGCAGTACATTTGACTACCACCCGCCACTATCACTAAACATGTACCAGCCTCAGAAATAATCGTGGTATTTTTCGAATCGAATTACCCAGCTTGCAATTCACCTGCGAATATGACTACATTTGAAATTTGCTTGCGCTGAATTGCTTGTTGACAGGTGCATTTGGAAATATTAGTTCAGCCCCGTGCATAAAAAATGAGACGTAAACCGCTACGGACAATCTGATGAATGTATTGTATTTTTGTCGGACGGTGGGAAAAGCTCCGAATGCAAGGCATTTTGATTCAGTTGGCAATATTTTGTCTTCAGCTGAACAACATTGGTGGATGCCATCAGTAAATGGAAGTTTTATCGGCTATAAAAAACTTTTCTCCCAGGAACGGTTTTTAAAATCTTTTCATTCAAGAACACTGGATCCTATCTTTTTAGCTGTTTAAGACGTAAGAACACAAAGGTCAGTTTCTTAATTTTAATAGCTACTTTTGTTTTTAACATATCAAGCATTTCAAAAACCTGATTAATGTGGCCTGATTTCAAGTGCAGCGAGTCATTGTGCGTAAAGAGTACTCAGTTTGAGTGGTCAGTTTATCCAGACGCTGACACCCCCATACATACAATATAGCATTTTTAAATAGTTCCATGGTGTTGCAGGAATCTTTAAATAGCAGTTATTTAAAAGAAGTATTTGTTAATATATTGTAAAACAAAATCCCCAAAGTAACATAATCCCAACCAACAGGAGTAACTCTTCCAGACTGATCACAGGGCTGTTTCATTCGTAATTTCCGATACGGTGATGTGTCATCACACTTTTTTATCAAACTTTTCCTCTGAACCAGCAGGCAAGGAATGTATTATTTCATAAACAAGAAAGTGCTCTTTGTTTTCTAAATCAGACAACATCAATATATTTATGTAATTTCAAATTGGTTTTGAGCAATTGTTAGTTTTAATTAACGTTGTTATTTGTTAACGAAAAATTGTTATCTTCTGCTAATAATTTTTCCAGAGATTTGAATATCAAATTTATCATAAGTTGAAAGAACTGTTCAAAAGACCAATTTAGAAGTTAAAATCAAAGAACTTCTCAAAACTTTGAACTTCTGATATAAAACCATTAAAAGGATCTTCTTATTGTATGAAGCCACGGAGTTTTTTGAGAATTTTAGTACATAAACTGGCACACTAAGATTTCAAATTTCTTTTAAAAAAGGCACACTTTTAAAATGGCACATATTTTGCTAGTATAGGCCCGAAATAAGCGGGAGATCAGGTAAGAGGTCTAGGGCCTCCAAAAAACACTAACAACAGTTTTAGCAGTTTCTAATTTCAACATTGAAATTGATAGTCAAGTTTCTGTTCTTCTCAATCGTTCTAGCTCTTTATTTAGTGTTCGTGGAAGTTCCCAACCTGGAAAATAACTGAAGTGGTAATGCTACGCTAAATTATGCTTTTCATTATGTTTTATGATGGATGACTTTCATTTATTGCAATCGTATGGGTATATTTTATAATGGGTGTTGATAATTTATAATAAGTTAAAATTATGAAGCCTATTTTTGGATCACTACGCATAACATGCCGATATTTTTGTTTTCTAGAATAAAGCAGTGCTGGAGCTCTTCAGGTTTCATGGAAATGATGAACAACAGCTCATCAAATCCAGAACACGTATATCTTCCCGTGTACGAGAAGGCTATCATGTCAGTGGTAATAATTACTTTGGCATTCACAGGAACGATTGGCAACTGCTTAACCTGTGTGATTTTTCTACAGAACAGAATGATGCGAACGAGCGCCAATCTACTAATAGTCAACCTCGCGATTGCCGATGTACTTCAGTCTTTAAACATGTCCTTTCTAGTGTTTAACCTGCTGAACGGCGGATGGATTTTAGGTGGAGGGCTGTGCCAGTTCTGTGGATGGTCTAATATGACATTCATTATTACCTCGCTGTTTTCTCTTGCACTAATCAGTCTAAGCAGATACTTTGCTGTTGTTAAAACTAATGGAAAGTATTCCTTCACTAAACGAGCTTGGCTTGCTATGGCGATCGCGGCCTGGACAACCGCTGGGCTTCATTCTTTAGCACCTGTGTTTGGCTGGTCAGTCTACGAGTACCGTGCTGGCAAACTTATGTGCACCCTGAAGTTTTCTGATAGTCTCTCCTACTCAGTAACGACAATGTCGATAGCTATTGGGTTCCCATTCTCTACTATATGCTACACTACCTACAAGATAATAAAAAAGGTGAAACAAAGCAACGTACGGGTAGCAAACAGCTCAGTCATGACAGAAAGGAAGCGAAAGGAAGAGAACCGAATTTCCCTTATGCTGCTAAGCGTGATTTTATGCTTTGTGATTTTCTATTCTCCAGCCTCAGTCATCAACCTAGTGCAGATGGGTTATGGAGATAGTTATAAGATACCTTTTAGGCTTGATGCCTGGACAGTAATACTGGCCATGTTCAACCACGCAAACAATCCCATCATTTACTGCATATTAAACTCAAATTTCAGGAGAGGTTTAAGGGCTATATGCTCCGCTGACAGACGCAAACAGATTCGCTCTAATGTAGATGTTACTATGGATACCAGAAAGACAAATGTTGCCGCATAAGTGAATTAATTTGGCGGATGCAATATTTTTTTATTTTGCGTTTGTTTTCCATGAAAAACGATGTAAATAATCAATTCCGCTTGTCGGAGAACCTCTCAAACAGAAACAAACAAAGCTAAAATCAACGATGTCAAACAAGAACCGTAGAAGTAATTTTGAATTGATACAAAGGTAATTCAAACAACCCATGCACCAAATCATCGAATATTTTCAATAAGCAACTTACAGCGGATTACAGAAAGCCAAATTTTGGAAATATCTTTGATTAATGGAAGTAAGGTGTGCACCTATCAAGAAATTATGTTGATTTAATTGAATTTTAAATCCGACAGCTTACCATTAAGGAAAACATCAATTTCTGCATACCGTCTTTCGTGTATTGTGATAGAATTGTTTCATGTTATCTTGAGGCTCTCAGGTCTCAGGTTACGAGAGTCCTTATTTTTTATGCTTTATTGAGGGGATAGTCCTCAAGCGTGTCTCGTCAGTCTGCTGCTGTTGAATCAAAAATTTAATTTTCAGAGGATTGAATCAAAGTGTCACATTGTGGCAACGATCAGTACTATGGGTGATTTTATTATGTGCCTGTTAATATCTGTATAAATGTAATACCATTTAGGTAATCTTTATGCTCATAATAAAATGTATTTTGAGTTAACAGTTTACTTTTGCCTTTCCATTTCTGGTAAGAAGCGTGCCCTGCACATAGATTTCAATCTGTGCAAAGAATGTTGGAAAAATGGAAGAAAGTCAGCATTATATGTTAGATTCAATAATGATAATAATAAATAGTAGTCAATGAGTAATCTATTTGAAGATAGCTGCAAAGATTATAAAGGAAACCAAAAAGGAGTACTAGAATAAGCCAAATTCTCCTATTTCCATTTTTGTACGGCATTTTTCTACAGCATATACAATTACAATTCAATTGATTGTTCAGCTATAAAAGCCCTAAATTGATTACGAACCTCTCGTACAAACAATTTGACTGAAGATAATTAAACCTTATATGGATCCCCGTCTTTTCTCCGAATCCCTGTAAATTGTAAACCAAAATGTGCTCTTTCAAGGAAACTAAACCTTTTTGAATTTTGGATACATATGATTATGTGATCAATTACTGTTTGTAGATGTTTATCATTTTTTTTAAAGTTACAGTTGCATGCCCAGCCCAATTTTTAAAACTACAAGTTATTTCATAAGTCTTTCTATTACTACTTCACAATGAGAGTTGGCACTGAAGACTGTTTTTAGTTATGATTTCATAGATTATGATTAGTATCTAATTGCTGACTTTGTCCATAAAGATGGCAAACAAAAGATGTTATTGCATGATTTTGACTCAGTTCTCTTATCAGTTAGACCATAAACCAGGCTTGTCAATCGTCAGCTTCTTATTCATAAACCGGTGAATTAAAAGATCGTGATTACACTCATAATTAATTCTTTGTCAATCATACCACAAAAACAGTGATCAGTATTAAAAGCATTTACTGGTGGCATCAGCAAGACGAATGCTTATGAATAAGACATTCTGAAATCTAATTGATTAATGTATATAGTTACCGGTTAGCCAACTGCCTTTTGCCTTTTCCTTTTGACGCCCATTATCAAAACAATGCACTAAGATGAAATGGCTCAATCTCATCGGTCATTACACTTTGATGAACATAGCCACAGCTTGAGCTTTAGTGCTGGATCTTGACATGAATTTGTGTTGACATGAATTGTTTTCTTTAAATTGAAATTACTGCACACTTGAAAAATTAAAATTATTGAATATTGAATAAAGAATATTGAAGCTAAAGATTTGTAGGAAATCTAAGAGTCAATTGATAATAAAGACACAGCTCGAATTTCATCGACATATTCGGGCTTTGAGCAAGTAAGAAAGATTTGATAAACACTCATAGAGTTTTATTTGTAATAGTTGGTTTTGTTTCTTAAATGTTTTTGTGATGAAAAAATACAGCAGTATAGATTTGAAGCTTCTTATTTAGAATGATTTAAGAATACTTTCAGGCTCAAAATGCTAAATCCTAATTAATATTGAAACTCGACAAAAATAATGATATAACAGAACAGTACACGCTTGCATGTTTGCATGCTGTCTTTGTTTCTTTAGTGAAATGATGTAGTGAAATGATTCTGTAGATTGGTATCAGTTTTAGGGACAAGCTACACGGGATGCAATTGTTATATTTTACAGTGAATAGAGCGCTTGAGCAAAAATTAATTAAGATGATTTTTACGTAATTAAACACTCCAGAGTGAGTGAGAGTATTGCTAAATATTTTGTGTTTTGTGTTCACAGCTTTTGTTTTTTTTTCATTTTTCTATTGCCTTTTTTGTCAAATGTCTGCGGGCTTGACTATGTAAGTCTGTCAGCCTAGCAAAAATTATTGTTCTTTCACATATTTATGAGCTTTTCAGGACATGTTTACTGATTTACTACTTGTATTAAAGGAATCACGATTCTTGAATAAGTGGAAATTATAGCATGATTGTTCTGTATTTTAGGCCACATTTCAAGTGCATCCTTAAACTCAAAATCTTGATTTCAAAATGGCGGCTGGTAATGGCTCAGCTACATCTACCGAACAGATTGTACACTTCTATCTTTATGAAAAGGTGATAATGTTGACAGTTCTTGTCGTTGTCTCGCTGACAGGTATCATCGGCAATGCTCTAACATGCGTCATTTTTGTACAAAACAAATCATTGCGAACGTCAGCAAACTTTTTGATCGTAAGTTTGGCGGTAGCCGACGTTCTTCAGTCGTTTAACATGATATTCATTTTCGTAAGCATTGTAGCCGACAAGTGGATTCTCGGGTACGGTCTTTGCCAGCTTTGTGGCTGGACTAACATGAGCTTCATCATCACTTCTGTTGTGAACCTTGCTTTGATCAGCCTGCAGAGGTATTACGCCGTAGTAAAGAAGACAAGCAAGAAGCTGTTCAAAAAGAGAAACACATTGATACTTATAGCAATTTCCTGGGTCTATCCGGCCATTTTCTCCATTGCTCCAATTCTGGGCTGGGCAAAGTATGAATATCGGCCCGGTAAACTGATATGCACTTTACAATTCTCTGAAAGCATTTCATACACACTAACACTCATGTCCCTGGCAATATTCACACCATTTGCTATAATGTGCTATGCTACCTATCGAATTGTCAAAGAGGTAAAACAAAGTCGCAACAGAGTGGCACACTCCATCTCTGCCGTTCAGCAAAATCGCCGATTCGAGACACGTATATCAATCATGCTTGTCAGTGTAGTTGTATTCTTCTTCGTGTTCTATTCTCCAGCATCGATCGTTAATCTCATCCAACTTGGACTAGGCAATCATTACATCACCCCTTACCGGATCGATGCCTGGTCTGTCATCATGGCTATGTTCAATCATGCAAACAATCCCGTGATCTACTCGATATTAAATCCAAATTTTAGAAAGGGATTCAAAGGTCTATGCTCTCAAGAAAAGCGGAAGCAGTTCCATACTGCCATGGAAATCGAATCGCGCCAGACACACCAGCCGCAGGACCATAATAACTCGAAGCCAGAAATGCGTCCGTGAGATCAGATATCTGGTCGCCCAAAACATGTAACAGAAACGGCTCGCAAATGCTGTCTATACCCTTTTCCGGTGCTTTTGGATTTATGACAAGGCTAGGAATGAAGTTTTTCACGTAGATGGAAAACGCTTATAGAAGTTCCCTAAACTTGACGTAAGTACTCTCAAAGGGAAATTCGGCTCTTCCAGAATATCAGTATCTGAAGTGACTTGTAAAGTGAACTTTAGATGCATGTCACTTGGCTCTTTTTCACCAGTGGCTTTATACGAGCCAAATCCTGTCGTTGCAACAACAAAAATTGCCATCAGAAAGATAAAGTCAACGCTTAATTTTTACTATTTAGTTGCCATTAAATATTTAGCTTAATTTCGATACTCATAAACTGTAAAAGAAAGATTTGGTTTAGGAATTAAATGCTATACGAGCTTTAAGTTTTTAGGCCGTGATTCATTTTTAACATGTTGATCAATCAATGATTCCATGTTGCAGTTTTTTTATTAGAATGTTATATTAATTGATCTCTTGCATCATCTAAGGTTAAAAAAAACTGATCAGATTCGAACACGGCCAGTATAACTAGGCTATGAAATAGCTTTTGTCTGTTTGTAACCGCTTTCCACCGGGTGATACTTCACTCTGTGGGATTGGTTGCCTGTGTGAAGTGCACTGATGCTTTAACCGTCTAGCAGCTTGTATTGTAACTCGTGGATTGGTGTGCTGTCTGTAAATAGTAAGCTCGGGCAAAAACTGTGTTCCAGGATCTTCTAATTTTCTTGTTAACTTGCTCTTTAAAGCCATGTAGAAATTACAGTGAACTTCTCCATTTTGATGGATAATGTTAGTTCTATATTCAGATGAAAATTAAAGGCGTTTTTTTACTCTTTCCCGCTTAACAATGCATGAACCTTGCAGCTTTCGTAAGTAAAATGTCATAAGCTGCGCTTAGTGACCTTTTGTGAAAGTACATAGGTATCTATCGAGATTTGGGGTGAAAGACCGTGCGTGTTGTGTTGTGATTCTTTGGGTTTGTGTTTGCGAACGAGCAAAATGGTGCCTCATTCGCCTGAATTTATTCGAATCTTTGGCAATTCATTAAAGGAAAAGCTCTTTCAAAAGGTAATCGAAGGATACAACCTCAGTGGCTGACGTTGTTGTCTGCATTCTACTGTCATTTAGCACAGAAGTTTACTAAGAGGTATGGTGAATGGAAACTATTTCGCACACAATTGCACTATCAGCAACTACAGATTGAAGCAATAGAGAAACCGAACCCTGTACTATACATTTTGTAAAAAGTCATGCCGATTGCTACTGCCATCCCCCTTTTACACTGCACATATTTCCAAAAACTCTGATAAAATCGCACAGGTATGCAGTGTAGATTCGCAAAATGAATCGATGTCAAAAGTGACAAAGTAACTTGAAGACTCCGACTGCTAACGCTGAGATATTTCAGTAGCTTTCAGTAGCTTTTTTTCGATTTAATTCAGGCAAACGAACCAAACTTTGGTCTTTCACAAAACATAAACCTAAGGAATCGTAACACAATACGCGCGGTCTTTCACCCAAAATCTCGACCCAGTTCCCTTTGACGCGGTTAGTTGAAAAGATGTATATGAAGAGATTTGCTTTGCGACTCGTAAAGCTTTAGATTCTCTATAAATGGCAATAATCCCAATATCAGAATATTCTTTAGGATGTTTTGCAAAAAATATTGTAGAACATAAGTAGTCGATGCATCTGGATTTGATTGTTATAACTTGTAGCGTCTAAACAGTTATGTAAGAATATTAAATTACAACGAGGATTTGATCAGAATTTAAGAGAAATTCATAGTTAAGCAATAACTATTAAAAGCTGCTTTCTGTCTCATTTTTTCTCTTGTTTTTTGTGATTGATCACTAAAAGGTTTTTTTATCAATATTTTTTCGAGGTTTTATCATCATAACTTGGCATTTTGATGTTATGCTAATAAAACATACAGATTATACCAGCATTTCCCAAATCAATTTCTTACAGCTCTAGCTGCTGTTTATTTTGCAATTTTATATTGTTAGTGATTTGCTAAAACTTCGATTATCCCAGAAAAGTCTTTGCTTATGAGAAATTCAAATTACTCTCGTGTTTTTGTTTATTTGCATCTTGAATGCAAATTCAATATATTCAATTGCAGCTGTGTAACTATTACATATTACAAGAGATCAGAATGTGCTTGCCTAAGTCCTTCTGGATTTTCTGGGTCAATATCGTCACAAAGAACGTACAGTGTTGTTCAAATATCTAGCATTGAATCATTAGCATATTTGTGCCTTCTGTTAGATAGTCTTAGAAACCCTAAGTTTACAAGGACAACCGCTTCATAGCATGCATCAGAGCATTTCAATCAAAGATATAACGTTTGCAATGTGGAGATTAGCTGCCATGATACATAATGGCAAAATAAACAAATCATAACCCTGCGTGTAATTGAATAAATCAGAATATGTAACAGAAAAACTTTATTTCTAAAATCATGAAAAAATGGAGCTATTTACTACACTAGACGCCAATATTACCAAGAAAATAAACTAGATGTGTTTTCATATGTGAAGAAATGAATAAACAGTGGCATTTGCTCTCTGCTAAGGTACACAGAAGGCTATCACAATCTTTTATTACGAATTATTTCTTTGTACTTTTGTGCTTGTATGCAAACTCATTAACGCTGCGTAATTATGACTTCATTAACCGCCGCTGTGGCGGAGGTATGGAAAAAACATATGATTAGTGTCATAAAGGTGCGAGATAGGTTTCTTGAACAACTAGAAAACCGTTTTCAAAAAGGTGAAAGTTATCAATGTGCTTTTTATTTTGCTTTTCCGACAAGTCAAGGTAAAGTGGAATCATGTTGGAATAAACCCTTTGATGAAAAGCTCCGATATTTTATTCTTTAGGAAATGCAGAGTTGGCACCTCTATCTCCTCTTAGACGATAAATCAGCTCAATTATATCTAATTACTCCATTGTTTCGCCTTCCTCATCTATGATTGTGCTACACGTGGTATACCAACAAACCTTTAGAACTGTTTGAGTACAATTTTACCACCTTGCAAGAAATGCTGAATTTTAAAAAACTTACGGAAGCCGCAGATGCTAGCTGTATCACTAGAAATGTCGTTTTTAAAGCTGTTTCACAAAATATTTACTTTGGAATCAAATTGTCATGTCAACTGTGAATCAATTATTGCTTGGAAATCAATTTTAAAATTGATAATGGATTATCATTTTTTACCTTGCCACCGAATCGCAGCTTTTTCTTCAAACCACTTTTATGTTGACGACTCGATTACTACAGTTTTGCCTGTTTGGTAAAACATTTCCTGAACAGACCTTTTTTCCACTTGCACTTCCGTATTTTCTGCTTCGATCAACTCTATGTCGACGACTCAATAACTACAGCTTGCCTTTTTGCCTGAGCTTTGATACGGTACACGGAAAGTTTTTGGCGATTATCTATTAATTTGGGGAAAATTTTAATGCAGCGCCATTGAAGCGCCACTTGGTGTTGATATTTGGTTATCGTAGTAGCATTCCATATTAATAGTCCTTTTTCTTGAGTCATGGGGAATAAAATATCTAACAAGACTTCGTGGCTATGAAGAATCCTCAGAGCAAAATTGTTCAGCAACTAAAACGAACTTAGGTTATTTGCTGCAGCGGAATAACATTTTAGTTTCTGGCAATGGTTTTAGCTTCGAATTTTCTCTGCAAAATAAAAGAAAGAATCAACTGCAGCCACAACTGAATTGCCTCTAGGGGTGCTATTAAGAGATTAAGTAGCACTTTCAAGGTTACACAGGGTTTTAATTCAGAAATGACCACCTCACAAACACCGAAGGTCAGTGTTGAACGCCTGCATTCCTCATATCCTGAATCACAACTGACTTACATTCTTAGTTACATTTACTTGTCATACACGAATTGGTTTACAATCAACCAACAAGCTAAACAACAACAGAGTACTATCATCATCATCATCATAATAATCATCAATTTAATTAACCTAAAGTACAATTCAATACTTAAAAAAGCTCTTTACATCTAAATGACAAATTAGAGCTTCTTACGCAAACGTGGAAAAAAATTAATTAATTCACAGCAACAACAAGTAGCTACAACGAGTACAAAGCATAGTGACAGCAGTACATTACAAATTTGATACAGAGATGATGACATATAGATTGATTACAGGCTAGATACATTACACTTCGGTCATGGCATAACGTCCAACTAAAACTTTTCTTTACGTAATCAAATTGGTAATTCTTTTTATATTTATTCAATTTTGCGTTATCGGACCTATCGAGTTTTCATAAAATTGTAAACATTGATAAATCGCTGAGAAAAGTGAAGTACCCTTTTTCATTTCCAAAAGTAAAAGATTAGGATAAAAAATATGATTACAAATAATGTCAAAACTTTTGAGAAAATCCTTATTTCAATTTTGTTCAAAGCATTTATGTGGATCTGAGCAGATAAAAATTTTTCTATTAAACTTAACTAGAAGACAATTTTAAACTATGAACTTAACAATAATTAGGCATTGAAAATCTATTGACAATCTTATTTTGATGAAAGGCAATTGCATATAAAACAATATAGCTGTTTATAATTTCCTTTTTAGCAACGCAATTCGTTGATATAACATGAATAGAAGTAAATCTACTATCATCCTTTAGAGAGTAGAGTACTATCGGTCTCTCCTTGTTACTCATTAAAATCCCACAAGCTGTAATAAACAAAAGGTGCAAACTGATTAAAGTCTCCCGCAATTGAGAATTCCTCTTCATATTAACACACCACCTGCAAATGGAATTTCGTTGGATATCCATTCAGCAAACAGCCCTAGACGAGGTTCAATAAAAAATCAATTCAGTACCAGTCCCGCTGCTTCTCAGTTGATTAAAATATTTTCCAACGAACGATGTTTGTTTGATCTGGATGTGCAGTCAACTTCAGTTCTTTATAGTAAAAACAAAAGCCAAATTTATGAACTGCTAGCCTAGGATAAATCACTTGATTAGATCTATGGAGGTCTTCTCAAATAGGTTTCTAATTGTCAAAAAGAATCATTTCTCACTTTATTATTAAAAATGGAATTTCAAGCTGTTTTTTATAGACCAGGCGAGGAAGGGGGGGGGGGTATCGTCACCGATCGAGGGTATTGGCAAGACCAACTCTATTTGGTCAATTTCGATACGCTGATTACGAAAATCGATGTTATACGGAGAAATTCGGTACCACTAATCTAAAAAACAGACTGGATCAAGCATCTATTGTCGAAAAATGTGGCCGGGCTTTGCGGCCATCTTTGTATGCCCAAACGCAATGAAGAGAGGGTATTATAGTTTACGGAAGGAGACTCGGAAAATGCGCAAGTTACAAATCTTTGCTTAGGATAACTCGTATACCCGAAATACGTTTAATTAGCAATCCGGAATGAACACACCTTTTACAGGACCAGGTGGTTAGCTTTGCAGTACCCTGAGATGAAATGTGGCTCCGAGAAAACGTCAAAGTTCTCGCAGGGTAGCCCTTATATTGGCCTAAGCCTTCTGGGCAGCCATCAGATCAGTAGGAGGAAAGTAGTACTAAAGGTTTGTGAAATATATGTTTGAGTTTCTGGAGAAGATTAGCTAGTCCTCTGCTTAGTGTTGCAGTTAAGCATTGGCAGTCTAGTTGATCATGGTTGGGATGCAGCCGGTAACGCATCGTGGGGTAAAGACCCAGATAATGCTGCGGAGCTGCTTCTAAATGTCAATCAAGATGCTGAAGAAGACAATATTGATTCAATGAATGACCATTGCTCTGAGGATGAGTATAGCGATGACTCTGACTACAACGGAAGCTAGAATGTTTATGCCAAATAACGTTGTATGTATATCAGCCGTATTATATTGCCTTTTGGCATATTCTTTTTTAAGTTTTTAAAGCAAATCTATGTGCCGAGCAGTTTTTCTCTATGAAAACGATGAATGCACGATTTTAGAATGAAAAAAGGACCCGTGCATTCAGAATTCCGCCGTATGAGATCAACCTTCGAAATCAGTATATCGAAATTGATGAGAATTAATGATTTACAAACTTTTGTTCATCATTCCAAGTTTTATGAAAACGAGGTTTGAACATGAAATAGAGGCTGCCTGGTACTAAATTTACATTCATAAAACTATTTTTTGAAATCAGCACATCAAAATTGATAAAGGTCAATTAATTTACAAAATTTCGCTCAACATTCAAATTAGGACGAAAACGAGGTTTGAACGTGAATTGAGGCTCCCTGGTACCGAATTTCTCCGTATAACATCGATTTTCGTAATTAGCCAATCGAAATTAACCAAATAGCGTTAGTCTTGCAAATTCCCTCGATGGGTGACGATACTTCCTCCCCCCCTTCCTCGCCTGGTCTATCAAGGTTGAGGGTGATAGTACTATGGTTTCTTGATTTTTTTGTCACTCTAGGACCCAGGTTTTTTAGATAGTTTCTTATGAAATTAAGGTGTAGTCTTGAAGCTAAAAAGCAGAATGTGACGTTATATCGTCTGACTGTAGTAGCACATGATTGTATCATGTGACAATTTCAACGGGCATTCTTAAGAGGTGTAGAGATATTGCGTTGTTTACGATGGAGTTAAGTGAACTAGAGCTTGAGTGTTTTGATCTTGTTTTTATCTAACTAATTTCTACGGCATCTCTATAATGTTACACAAAACACAAACATTTCATGATTTTCAATGCCTTTGACTGGTTGGGAATAAAAGTTTTCCAAAGTGTCAACAATTCTTTACAACAAGTCTCTATTCTTTCCTACTGTAAAGAAACATTTATCAAGATGTGAATTTAAACCTTACCCCAAGTTAAAGAATTCTACACTGAACCCCGCATGATGGGACTGATTGCATTAGAATCAAGAAACTTCAAATTCAACAAGTGCTTAGAATTGCTTCAGTGTTGAGATACAAACTACTGAATGTCCATCTTTGCTTCTATAAGAAATGAGTGTAAATGTGAAAGTTGCGTCTGCAGGAATACCATCATCCATTTTTGAGATCACAGTCCTCTGAGTAACGAATAAAGAGAGAAAGAAACAGGGCTTTAATTGACAAAACATTATAAAGAAGCTCTTTTCACACCACATTACGACTAACTCACAAACATTTTATTTGCGGGAATAGGTTTTATGATAATTGAGCATGGGTAGCGATATCAACGAAAGTCTCAAATATGTCCCGAAAAACTCAACCGTTATAACAGTCTTACAATTATATCTATTTTGAAAGCTAACGCTACAGTATATTCCCAAAAACTTGAGCCTCCAGAGGGTGATAAAAATGTTGATCGATGAAAAAAGGTTTTTTGTACACTAGTCCAGTTGCTTGGAATGATATCCAACAACTCATTATATATATCAGTCGATTTCATCGTACGATTTAAAAAAGAACTGAGATGTCACATTTTGAGATAGTAGGATTCAGCTCGGCACGAGCCCATGGAAGATCAGGTTATGTATATTTTTAATCTCTGTGTAACCTTTTATTGCAATGTAGTTTTCTGTTTGTATATCATAATGAAAATGAATGAAAATAATGTTCAACAGAATGCTCGATTCATCGGGAGTTCCAAAGTATTGGCGATGGTTCAATAGGAAGGCAAACACAGCAAGGGCTATAGATTTATTTGGGGTTCAAGTTATCAAGGTTTCAAGTTGCAGGTGATTATACTGTATTCAAATATAAAATATATTCGTTGTTCAACTATAAAGCCTATACACTATCAATTAAGTACGAAATTAGATTTATAAATATTATGTTCTAAAACTCTGCAAAAAATTTCTACAAAAATAATATCAATTTCAAAGAATTATAAGACCAGCTTCACATCCCCATACTTCTTTTCAGTAGGACCTAAAGGGCATTCAAAACATTTGATAAGTAGACAATGAACTAAAAAGGGTTGATCTGAATCCTTTATAGACATTCTAGAATCTAGATGAAGCACAAGGACTTGATTGAAGTATTTGTATTAGTATTAAAAAATGTTCTTAAAATATCATTAAATAGTTTAAGCAAAAATAATAGTATTCAGTTTGGGCTTTGTTACTCGAAAAGTTTCAATAAATGTCTACAATATTGGCTCGAATTCGCAAAAGGATTCTGGGAAATGTCAAATGCACAAACTTAAATATGACTGATTCTGTCTTTAGAAATAAATGCATGGCGTACGTGAGATTTTATAAGACAGAATCACGATATTCTGTCATTGATCGTCCTGCCACAGTCAAGTATGTGCGCAGATACACGATCTGTTATGACATGTTAGAATATCGATTCTGCCTCTGTCTGAGAAACGTCTTCCCAGCTTCCGCTCAAAGAGAGGCACTCTGATTTGTAGCCTCTCGTGTCTCCCGTGCGTCGTTTTCGCCGCCGACTTTTCTTTGCAGGCAATGAGGCAACAGTTGGCAAATTGCTGCGACCTTTTTGATCCAGGAAACGTCTCATAAAATCTCCTTTCAAAGGAGCTGATTGTTTCAGCTTTTGCATACCGCTGTAATTTTGATTCCTTGCATTTGGAACAGCTGATGTTTGAGATGTTTCGGGGGTAGAAATGCCCGATGAAGGCATACGCGTTGACAGATAGGTCAATAACACTTCATGGATTTGGTGCAGCTCCGTGCGCAGCTCTTCAATTTGCCTATTTCGAATCATAATATCAGCTAAAATGCTATTATTTGCAGCTGATGAGTGAGCAGGACTTTGCACCACTGATTTCCTACCTCCATGCGTGGGCTCAACGTTACTTTTAGTATATGTCTTTAAGTTATCCTCAAGAGAATCCAGTCTGTTTGTTATTTGGTGTGCCATCCGGTTAAACTCTGTCCCACCTTCACCGCCATCGGGTCCTGAAGTATGAAATACTTCCTGCAACAAAAACAAAACCAGTTTTCAAATTTTCTGCAGGCTTCCTTGTGGACGTAGATAAAACATTACTGTTTTCATTCAAGTTATCAACGTACTGCACCCCCCTTCCCCCTTAAAATATGAAACACACCAATTGTATCATAGTTTTGCATAACAGATCTAAAATATTCTTATGAACAGGAATGTATTTCGAAACATCATAAACTTAGCATATGTAAAAAAATGATATTCTGCTTCATCACTGGTTTTTATCGTCACGTGAATCAGAGAAACGAGATTGATGTCAGCTATCAAAATTTTCAAAATCATTTTTGTGAGGTTATCATCGATATACATAATACTTAGCATCCCAATATTTTTAAAATCATCTAGATGTCACTGGACGTTGTTAGAATTTTACAGATACTTCTGATTCAAAAAACCCGAGCGAGCAGTGATATTAAATTATTACTATATGGAAACTAAGGTGCTCCATTGCAGATGCATCCACCCTTGGCATTCTATTACATTTGTAGCAGGGGGTTCAAGCATGTTCAACGAAAATTCAACGAAGAGTTTATAACAAAAAAGCATTTGGAAAATTCCTCACCAGGGGTGAACATTCCTCTTGGATATATTTCTCTGAACGTGATTTTCGCTTTTTGCTTAGTGCATTTTCAACTTGCAATATTGTGGTTGCCTGGAGTAGAGCTGCATTTGCCAAAGCGTTCTGGTAAACTCGTGCAAACGTTTCTGACAATAAAGCGATATACAGGTTCATGCAAACAACAGACGCGATAGCAAAATAGCTGCCAACAAGAACCTAGGCGCAAGAAGAATTTTCGTTAGCAATGATCAATCTTCAAGATAAACAACCCTTAATGCAAATTGATACTTAGAATCATATAAACAATAAGACTTTTCCATAAAGGAAATGCTTATGCAAAAAATAATGATGGGATTTTGGCCACAATATGATGGATCTATAAAAGGGATTGCTGATGGATCTATAAAAACATTGAAAGAAAATGCAAAAACCTCTCCTCTCAAAACCGATTGCCCAATAAATCGATATTTCCCTGCTTCGAGCTTTAACAGTTCTCTAAATATTCCTTGGTTAAGCCAACAAGCCTCGAGCTTTGATAATTCGAGCAAATTTTGTTTTCTCTTGAAATTTTGAATTATCGGGAAAAGGCTTCTTGATAATGGCTTTAATTCTCGGGTCGATGCTATATGGTACCAATTTACTGCCTACTACCTGCATCTTTCATAATATAATGTTTTCGCCATATCCACCATAGCGGCAAAATCTTAAAAATTTAAAGAGACCTGGGCACCATAATATTCCCGCCATATTTAAGTAGCGTCCAGACTTCGAACCATATCAAATAGGAAATGTCCAAATATGCGTTTCAATGCACGTCAAGGGAAGAGAGCAACGTTCCTTGTGACACAAAAAGAACAACTTAAAAGTCTGGAAATCGAAAGGTAGGCCTCTTACATTCTGCAATTTTATCAGTTCTATCGAATAACTTAATAACCAATAAAGGTCAAATGACAAATGCGCGGTCAAACATGACACGTCATCCAACCAAGTTGTTTTGTGTATTTTCCTAACGCGGCTGCTTAGTTAATCTCTGAAGAGAGAGAAAAACGTTCAAATATATAGATACACCAGCTTGATTGAAAAGGTGTCATTTTTTCTCTGAACGTTATTCTTCAAGAATATCTCACACGTGCTCCTCAAGATGACAAACATCCCAATATAGGCACTAAGATTTTTTCTTCGTACCTCTCAAAGATTAGGCCCACAATATAAAAATGGTAGGTTAGGCAACACGATTTGCAGGATGTAATACTCTAGTGTCTCTAACAGACGGGCCCCCGTGTATTAATTTCAGAAAAACTTGCCCTCCTCTCGTCGCTTATTAGCACCCCCTTCTATTAAATTTTACAAATCTGTCATGACCAGAACACGCAATTTTCACTTGTCAAAAATTCCCCTTGTTATGTTATGTGGTAATTTTTTGATTGTCATAATTCCCCTTGTTATGTTAGTCTATCTTCATCTCTAACCATCTATCTATTATCAAGTAACCAGTGTCACCATCCTACTAATTCCATTGCCTTTTAATAAAAAGATTCACCAACATCCACTCCTTCTATTAGCTCCCCTTTGCTATTGAAATTTTCTGACATTTTATTGAAAATTGGCAAACCTGAACACCCCCTGCTATTAGCAACCACCTTCTATTGAAAACTGGCCGACATGAACACCCCCTTCTATTAGGACCCCCTTCTATTGAAAACTGGTCGACATGAACATCCCTCCTTCTATTAGCACCCTCTTTCTATTAAAAATTTGCCGGAATGAACACCCCCTTCTATTACCTCCCCCCTTCTATTATTGACCCGTATTTGCTGGGGAGAGTTCCCGTACCATAGGCGAGAGAAGTTCTTTTATCCACTCACCTAGCTCCTTGCATGTAACACATGAACTTAATTGGGTTATCCTACTAAGTTTCGGTATAAGAACGAATTCCTAGCCGAAAATTCCAAGTCCATTTTTCTAGGGTAAGGATTTAGACAACTAAGCTAAACCATTTAAGAATGTTTCATTCCAACTTGGAACTGAAATTTTGGCCAAGGTGGTTCGGATAATCCGATTAACCTCGTGTCATACACGTCGAGGAGTTTTTTGACTGCATCAACGAATCATAGGTCGCCTAGGATCAGGGAACGCTCTCCTAAAAAAAGACCTCAACCAAAACATGGTACCTCTCCAGATTGTTCATGTCCGCCGAAATGTTCCTAAATAGTAACAGACGAGGATCTCTTAACGTAAATATATCTTACTATCTGCAACAATGTTTCATTTACCGAGATGACATGTTTCATGCTGCGATCCGCGTTGTGACACATGTTGTTGCAAGGAAAAGTGCATTTTGTAAAACTAGTTTTAGGGTTTACTGGTATTCGAAACCGCATGTTTACATTTAGTGACAAAAATTACGCTCACCTGTGCCATAAGTTTATCAACAGCAACAAGACCGTCAAAATTGAAATCCGCAATCAGAGTTACCATCCAGACTGAAAACGTCAAATCGTTGAACTTTTTCCAATCAACAGACTCGGCACTGGCTGCTTCCATTTTCTGGGCATTTTTCTCTCCACCAAAGATTATCCAAAATGCACAAACATAAGGTATGAAGAACTCGAAAAACAAGAAAGCAAATCTCAGCGTATCTTGCATTACGTGGCCTAACATCGTAATAAACGGTCCTAAGGATTTGAACGGTCGACATGACTTCATGAAGTGCAGCCACATGAATATTAGTGCAAGAGCATAGACCCTGGGATGTAAATTACTTGCGGCCTTTTCATTTGAAAACACCGCTAAAACGCGTGTTATGATTACAGCCAGAACGGCAATGTATGTGAGCCAATCCATAATATTCCAAGCATCTTTAAAATAACTCGTTTTGGCACATTGAATTCGTTTTATTTCGCTTTCAAGGTACTGTCTCTCGTCAGGCCATCGAGGGTGACAATATTCTAAGTCCCGCTCAAGTTCCCGCACACGCCAGCTCTTGTATGTCCGTTGGTCTTTGCGTTGTGTTTTAACCTCCCAAATTTGCTAAAAGTAGAAAAATTACAAATATGGTTTAACGATCAAATTCTGCTTCTAGTGCACATTCTCTACTTTCTTGCACTTCGATCCCCCCAATACTACGTTTTGCAAATTATTCATTGAAAATTTGGCGTAATTTTGACAAATTAAAAGAAAACTGCTGAAGAACAAAAGATTTAATATCATATGCAAACATAAATTAGCATAATAAAAACCATTTTGGATTTATTGCCTCTACAGAAGATATCTGTAGAAAACATTCAAGAACATGTTTAAAAGTGAACACAAGACATGAAAAAGAGAAAATAAAGTATAGGGATGTAGAGGGGGAGAAGATTTGAGAAAAAGCATTTTCCTTTGTGAAGGTCAAAAGGTGATTAGCGTGACTTACTGTACTAGTCAAAACAGGAAACGTTTGGCGATTTTCTAATGTTCTATTCCTTTTTAAACATATACCCATCAGTCCACATGGACATCTTTCCAGGAAAAGAGGGATATAAGGCAGGGCCACCGAGAGCTACGTCCGGTTCAGTTGCAGGCCCAGTTTGAAACCCCTTCCTATCCAAAGCAATAAACTTTAAATGCGTTCAATATGGATGTGTATAATTTTCTTAAGCACTGTTAGACTGTCCAAGTGCAGACAGGATTTGTATTTACCGCGTTACTAAGAGTCAGCTTTTAAATTGAGACGGGCCTAATATCTACGGATAAGAGCAGCCTGGCGTGATTGGCTTTGGATTGATGAATCAGTTTGGCATTCTTTAGTTTCTTTAAAACCAGTAAATTGAATGTCAGGCTGGCTGTTCTTAGGCTGGATTGTTCCTAATTTGTTTTAAATTACTAGGGTGTAAGCAGTGCAATTGCTAGCTATTGCGCTCCAGGAAGGTGTTCAGGCCTCGTTTGCCAACAACGTGAGTCTTCATTTTTGAGATAAAACGTTGTTCTCAATTGCGTTTTGCAGAAGCTCAGTCTCAGCTTGTGTAGTAGAGTAGGTCCCAGGCCCCCTGGGCAACGCGTAACGACACCATGTAAACACGTGTGTGAACACAGATTAGAGTTTGGCTTGCTGTATGAAGTCTCATGTCTTGCCTTGGCCTTCCACCTCAATATACGTAAATATTATAGCTTGTTCTTAATTTCATCTTAAATTTTGACCAATTTTGAGGCTCGTGTTCTCGAGGTAAAGGTATCGAAAATCGCCAGGAAATGAGAAATTCTCTCCAACTGAAAGAATAAGTCTTTTTGTAAGAAGAGAACAATGACACTTAAGTTCATAAAGTATATTTAACGACCGGAGCGCGAGCGAAAAATTTCTACTTCCAAGACAAGCGGCGTCAAATATAGGAGAAGGTTATCCGTTATTTTCTGTGCATTGTGGAAATAAGGGAAGAGGTGAGACTTTTCAACAGATCCTGATTTTACATGTTGCTCTACCCTTCATTAAATTAATGGATCCAATATATTCCAATATATCACACGATAACCTTACAAAGTTGCATTTTGTACAGTATTGTACTGTATTGTATTGTACTGTGCTGCATTGTGCTGTATTGTATTTTACTGTGCTGTATTGTGCTGTATTGTGTTTTTATAGTGTATTTATATTGTATTATGCAAATTTTTGGAATATTTGTAATGTTGGATGTGGAGGCAACTCGATAACGTTCTGTTTTTTGCCTCCATCTCAACAATGATCAACTTGAGTTTTTTTGCACTTGTTTTTATTGTGATAAAAATATATATATATATATATTCCAATTAACGATTCAAAGTATCGGGTACTTAACAGACAGAGCGCTTAATATCGTTAATATCGCCAAGACTGAATAATAGAGAGGGCTTAGTTACAAGTGGCCTTAAACAGAAGATTTACCGATATAGGGGACACATAAGACGAAAGACTCTGTCTATTTGTAGGGAAGTACCCGTTGCTTTGAGATTACTTGTACAGGGCTTTGATAGAAGGAAATAAATCTTGACGCTTCTGAGATCTGTCTGTTAATGGCCATCTCCGTCAATGAAGGTGTACTGATAGGGCTTTCGTTGCTGTTTTTTGGATTCAGTGAAGTTGTGATTAGAATCTGTAATAAGCAACTAATATGTCCGAGCAAAGTATTGAGGCGCATTCTAACCTTTTATGTCGAGAACCTTTCATAACACAATAGGGTATTTTGCTCATGCTTGGCTTTAGTGCCTTGGTTTCGCATATATTAGCATAATTTCATATTGAACAATTCTAATTCACACTGTCATATATTACAATGTCATGTCAGATTCAAACAAACAACTGGAAGGTTGAAGAAAAGACAAAAAGGAAGTATAAAATAAATAAACAAATAAGACAGACCTTTAGTATGAAATACAGTGTCATCATACATCCAAGAAACTCTAGAATAATTCTCCACCAGAATTTGGAAGGAGGATTGTAGAAATTACCATCACTTGGAAGAAATATTGCAAGCCACGTCCATATCATGATGTAAACAAGATGAAAGCTTGCACCAAATACTGATGCCCATTTGCCAAATTGATTCCACTTAACGCTGATAAGTCGTTGTATTACAGGGTGCATCAGTATTTCAAATTCCTGACATCGAACTGCCACCTTTGAGAAACAATTCACAATATTATTCTCCATTTATACGATAAAATTTGTCAAGAAGCATCTTGCAGAAAAATGTTTGTGTAAATTTCTTGATCATTCGTTGCGATGGTTGTAACTTCCAAGTTTCATACCAAACATCAACTTATGCAATAAAATTCGTTTACTTGATATGGTTATGATACAGTAACTTTTTTAAAATGGTCGTTGCCTATCGTTAGGAAGAACTTACAGGTGAGCAAAAGTCAGCCAGACTTCACAGTGCTCCTTAGACTACAATCTCCTTTGACCAAATAATGAAAATAATATCATAGTAAACACATCATCTGGCAAAAATAAGGAGAGAAGCACAGCAGAAAGCCATGTTTAGCAATGTTCCATGTCCACACCCTTTTCTTTTTATATAAACACCCTCTCTCCATACTTCAATAACATTCTAAAACACGTTATCATTACCACTACTTTTCAGTGAAGTAAAAGTCCTTGACCATCCGGATGACAATGACTACTACAGATACTCATTGCTAAACCATACATTCAAACATTTCTCATGTAACCCAAATCAATACATAAGCATATGTTGCAAGGCCGTAATCTTGTACTAATAGAATTAGTTACTAAATCTCATATGTAGTATCAGAAGCTTACACAACACAAATCAGAAAAAAATTATAAATTGACATAATCAACCAAGATTATCCAGGGACGCCAGAGAAGATGGGCACGGGGGTCAACCGCCCCTGTTGCCTTTTATAGGAAGGGCAAGAATGCCAGTGTGCCCTTTCCATTAAAGTGCACATGAAACCGGCCATTTATAATAATCAGCTAGATTCATATGAAATTCTGAGTGTAGTGTCTGATTCATGACGACATTTCTCAAAAGTTGCAAAATAATTCCTTAAGCCAAAAGTCAGCCTATGTTCAAGCTACCTACAGAAGATCGAAAAAATGGAACGAATTTGTAGAAGCTGGAAATTATCTTTTAAATACCCGTTTACTAAAGCCTACCCACCCCCTTTATCCCTTGGTCGTTGCGGTGTCCCTGCGAGCATCGAAACATAATTAACCAAACACCGAAAAAACGAAAATTCTTAGCGTGATAAACGCAGCTAGCAAATATCAATCTTTGATTCCGAGAGCTGTGGGAAAAATTTTAGCTCTGTGGGCACGTCTCTTTCTCTTAAAAACGGGAAAACAAGACAGTTCTCTATCATACCCACATACAGGCACGCTGAGAGGCCGAAAGCGGGTCAGCGGGCAGATTGCCCTGGGCCACAAGTCTCGTAAGCGTTGCATTCTATCAACGAGGAAACATTAGGTTGATGATTTCTCATCGATAGGAAGAGAAAGATTTTTACATGCAAAATATGAATGTTCCTTCTTCATAGAGAACAATTTCGCTGGAGAGGTGGTCCTAGTGCTTTCCTGCGCCTCTAACCATGCTCATTTTCAACCAATTGTTATGTTGCAATCATGATAAAAAATTGAGGCAAAAATTATTTTGGAGATACCTCAACAATCATTCTACGAACTACTACTTTTGAAAGGCGGAGAGAAACCCTTTGGGGGGTAATGGAGTGTCTTGAGACTGATACTAATTTAATTGATGTGCAACGAGTCGTGAATTAACCATCAGCAATAATCAGAATTCTCTATAGATTAACATGCCTCGGATGAGAAGCATTAGGTAAAAAATATAGAAAAATAAAACCTTAGTACCTTGAGTGGAGTAGTCGGGCACTTCCTAACCTTTATACCGTCCTTTTTCATCATTTTCTTGTGTTTCTTAAACTCTTCTAAATCTTTCCACTCCGATGGATCGTGCTCAAGATGACCAAGGTAATAATATTCTTTGCGGAATGCCCTGTCAATGTTAACGAACTGTTCTAAGGCATCTTTTGCAACTTTTGGCATCTTCTCTATCAGTAATGAAACAGCGGATAGGCCACTCTCATCAAAAACACCAGCTGGGGCACCTCGTTCGATTAAATATCGAGTTGCCTCTTCACGAGCTGCAAAAAAAGAAAGTTAATCACGAATGGTTGATTTCTATAATATTATGATAATACGGGCATTGGATATATTTTGATGGGGATGGGGAAGGTGGCGTAACGGAGGCATCTGTGACCCTAAGGAAAAACACTGAGACAGTAAAGGATGCATCGGTGGCACTTTTTACAGACTGCAAGAAAGTCATATCCAGCGCTGCAGAGCATCTCAAACACAAGAGCAAAATGTGAAAATGAAGTTTTTTCTCGTTAACTATATAGAATCTTCAAGTGACAAAATTTAAAAGTTTTTAAAATGAGATGGCATCTAGCCATGTCTTAAAAACACTGATATAAAATAACTTTCAGGCCCATTTTCGGTCGGGGCCCCCTCAGCTATCGAAGTATGGTCCGCTAAACTGCGTTACGCCACCGGTGGGGAAGGGGAGTCCTACATCGATGTACTGTATTCGCTGGTTTTACCAAATGATACGAATGTCTTTATTCGAATTCCCAAGTAAAGCTGTTTAGGCCGTCACACACGCACCCTTTGCTAAATCTAACTTTTGTTCTGATGATCAGAGGAAACAAAGGATGGTCAATCAGCTTCTTCGGTTACACAGCTGTCTCGAAGAAGCTACAAATATGCGGATTGTTTACAAATGAAATTCTTTCTGCTAAAGACGTGAGATCATAACTAAGAAACTTTGTAAATGTATTCTCCAAAAAAAATTTTATAACTCTATAAAGCACAATCAGTACATGACAGAAAATAGTCATTCTTATAAAATTCCTGACTGATAGACCAAAATCTAATGAAATTCGCAGATAGCACTCTAAACGAAGCGGGAAAGATAGCACTATCGTAAGTTCTGGAATAAGCCTCTGGGCTTATTTACCATCGGCAAAAAATATTACCGAGGAAACTTTTCTTCGCATTTTTGAGGCTGGTCTGAATGCCTAGAAATGTAGATATATTTATCTGCATTTCTAAGAATACAAACCATTTCAACCCTATTGCTGGCGAGACAATACCTTACTTAGCCCACGAGGGCTTATTCGAATGTGGGGGCTTATTTCACAAAAAATCACTTAAGGGTAGAGGTTTATTCGAGGGGGGCTCATTCGAAGGTGGGGGTTTATTTCACAAAAATCACTTAAGGGTAGAGGTTCATTAGAGGGGGGCTTATTCGAAGAGGGGGGCTTATTTCACAAAAATCACTTAAGGGTAGAGGTTTATTCGAGGGGGGCTTATTCAAAGGTGGGGGTTTATTTCACAAAAATCACTTAAGGGTAGAGGTTCATTAGAGGGAGGCTTTTTCGAAGGTGGGGGCTTTTTCGAGGACTTACAGTATTTACGTTTTTTGATATTGCGAAAATATTCAAAATGTATGATTGGTGATGAAATGAAAGAAGAGGTCTATGAATTTGAGGAAAGTGTTGAAATTATTTATATTAGTAAGTGAAATGTAGAGAAAATATGTGAAATACGGAGCAAGTACATTAGATATTGGCCTAAGTAGCCAATTCATTGTGAATAGATAAAAACTCAATAAAAATGAAATAACTTGCCATTTTCAGCTGCAATGAAAAGAGGAGTCCGCTTTTTGTAGTCTCTATCATTAACATTAGCATGCCAGTCCATCAGAACTTTTAGTGATCTCACAGCATTAAATTTAGCAGCATAATGGATAGGTGTCTGCCATTCACCCCGCGATTTCGCATGGATGTTTGCTGAAATATAAAACTACGTTAATAACTCGTTGTTCAAACTATCGTAGGTATTCAAATAATGAAGGAAAAAGGGGGAGAACGATAAAAAGTCTGGGATATAAACTACAACGCTAACGTTAGATAACGCTTTAGAGACGGGCGTGTATTGCTGAGGCGCGTATGATTTTGAAGAAGCTTTTCTTATTGTTGATTAATCTCAGTTTTTTGAGGTTTCCTTGACGTAAAGATGGTTTCTTGTCCTGGTTGGGATAATTGCATTTACCGACATTTTCGAAAAGTCTAATGATCCAAACAAAAAGCTTTAAAGGTCTTAGCTCACACCTCAAGTAGTTTTTAGCCACTTATACTACGTTTTGCTTGTCTGTCATGGCTCCAGTGCACATATCAAGAGCAGTTTCTAGGACAACAGATGATAGAGGCTTAGTTTATATCAGAGGTGCTGTAATAAAAGCCAAACCCAAGACCAGACTACATGTCCCCTCTAAAGAAATATTTTAATTTTAAAAAGGGGTATAAGCCCCCGAAACCCCCTCAACGGCACCTCATCGTTTGCAAAAGCAATTTATATTTCACCGTCCACTTTTCTATGGAAACATTCGCCTTATCAGCTATGGCCAAAGCACGTGTTACCTACCAACCAGGTTAGACCAAAAATGCTAAACAAATTTCTAAATGAGAAAATAAAACAGGGAATACTGACTCAGCTGATAGAGCTATGATAACATTGTAAAAGCTGACAGGGCTATGACCATACTGTAAAAACAACTTTACTTTATGCTCAAAAGATTAACATATTTAAAATTTGCGTTGGCACCAACACTGTTCGAAGAGGAAACCTAACACGTCAGAACTAGGGTGAACCAGAGTAATTGCCCCACTAACTTTCCGAAAACCTCTCTAAGAAGTGTCCCTTTTCAGCGGCATGGTTACCCTTCCTATCTGTGCCCGTGCACCTTTGAAATGTTTCTGACGTCCCTGGAGGTGACAGCGTTCCTAAAATTTTTGTTTATTGAAGATGCTTTTTACGACACAGAGGCGAGTGCAAATTATTTCTAATGAACGAAAAATTGTGCCATGTTTACAAAGATAGTCATTAATTTACTATATAAACATTGAAATTCGGTGAGTTGTACGCCGAATGACATTTCGAGCTCGGCGACAGTATGTATATACTGTAACAATGTTTTGAGCGTGGCGACTTCTTTCTATAACTAACTCACTAGGACTACCAAAAATTTTGGAATAGTGGATGGAGGGTGCACAATCTCATTGCTATCTTTCTAGGATTGTAGCTCGCCTGACAGATGGGCGAAATTTACTTGGGGGTTTTCGGGATAATCCCAGTTTTTAAATATCTAAAGACCAGTCTTCTGACAATCTCAAAATTTTTTGAAAATGTAACAAAAGCCAGCTAATTCGATTGTATAATGATTCTTACGTTGCCTATCTTGACAAAAAAAGTATTTCCTCCACAATTCTGACCTTGGATAACCTCAAAAAATTTGGTTTATAAATCCAGCCTTCTGAAACGTTCCAATTTCTATTGCCCCTTATCACATGAATTTTCGTGGTGAACCACGGCAGTTAGCTAAGATAAGGTAAGAAAGAGATTACGTCTTTATTTTTCAAACACGGGACAGAAGTTAAAATGCAAGTTGTTGGGCAAAATGCTTTAGACAGCAGGAAGTCAGTCGCGAGGGTACGTTCAAACAAAATCGTGAGCCCTTTTGGGCCGTTGGTGCATCGGCGTAAATCGCTCATCATCATAATCATCATCACCATCATCATCATCATCATCATCATCATCATCATCATCATCATCATCATCATATCATGTGATTGTGGGACTTGTTCTAATTCAAAATTGGATGTTATTCCAAGTCTTTACTCCAGAATAAAAAAACTATTCTTGGAGAACTTGGGATGTCCAGATCTAACTGATTTCTTGTTGAGTAGTTCGATAACAGAGATCTGGGAACAAGTCTCCCTTTTAGACTGTCCGGGCAGACACCATTCACTATTTCATAGATCATTAGATCATATTGCATTATATTTGAGACTGACAGCCAATAACATTTCCACCCATCCTTTAATCTAGAGTTCCCTATCATAGTTTTAGCTCTAGTTTGTAGACGTTGAAGATGTTAGAGCTTTGTGTTCGTTAAATTACCCCATAGTTCGTCACTGTATCTCACATGATTTTCAAACAGTGCCTATATACACCTGATCAAGTCATGGAACTGCCCACTTTTTTATAAAGGATTTCTGCTACGGCTCGGTTCTTACTGGAAAATTTCTCATCTGACAACAAAATTTGAGGATGTTTGCTTGCCTACTTTCCAATGGGAGGATTGTTTGTTTGCACAGTCTTTACGCCCATGACGCATTTCGATGGCCATTTAAATTTCCATTGGTTGGACTATACAATAGATCTATTGTTCCGTATCCAATCGGCAGCATTAGATTAATTGAAAAAATTACTGACTGGCAGGACATAGTGTCTGAAACGAAATTTAATCGAACAGTGTTACAGCACAAGCTAGAATTCTCCACATTCCTTTAATTCCTGATAAAAAATGCGCTCCTCTTTCCAATCCTGACTTTAGTTAGAGTTGACATAAAAGTTTCCCAATTCCAAAACAAAAACACATTATACAAGTGACGTGAACGAACAATCAATCAATTTTTAATTCTTTCTTACCCAAACAAGTCATAAGCACGTGCGGGTAGAATCAATGCAAAAAAGATAAGATTTTATTACCGCCGTTCTGCAGTAAAAATTCCACCATATCTGAATGGTCGACAGCAGCCGCGGAGTGAAGGGGGGATCTCCCCCATTTGTCAGCTTTGTTGATGTTTGCCCCTTTTTGTAACAGAAAATATGCGACATCTGGGTGCCAATTACGCGCCACTTCATGGAAAACACTTTGGCCATGTTTGTCTGTGCTATTGACACTAGCACCACCATCAAGCAAAGATTCGACAAAGTCAAAGTCAACCAACTCAGTCTCAGGAGCATGTGCTAATTTCGAAAAGTAGATGATAAATGCCTTGCTACCTGCAGAGGGGCCTTTTTTACCGCCCTTTTTTCCCGTCCATTTTGCTAATGATGAATTAGCACTACCTTCACCGTCAATTCCAGCTTCATCTTCATCTACGTCACTATCTAGAGATCCGTTGGCAAGTTTCGCCGAGCTTCGTTTCGCCTCCGATTTCGGGGCAGGTCCATCTCGATGTAAACAAACTGATTTAGGTGTTGCGCGTCGTGTGTTCTCTAGGAACTCCCATTTTGATTCTCGTTCGATCTGAACGAGGGGTACATCGAAACCAAGTCTTTGTCCTTGTGCTACTCCCGTCTGTCCGCTCGGCATTGCCAACGGAATTCGGAGATTCTCAATAAGGAAGCCAGGCACGATTTAGGCCTAACATCATCAAACAATAGTGATGTGATGAATCATTTATGAAGAGCCTGATCGCTACATGAGACGAAGCTGTCAAACAGGTTGCTTTGTTTTCAAGCTGATTGGACACAACACAATTCCCAGGCGGCTTTTCTAGCTTGTGACACAGCTCTATTCTGTACTTGAAACGAGTAGGAAATCTTTCGATAAAATTTAGGGCTCGACTGCGAAGGCTTTTCAAGAAATTGTATTGTATTGGATTGAATGCTAATTGGGCAATTACGATTTGTGGTGGAGCCGTCGTTATTTGTTTTTCACATCAACAGCTGAACGTGCAGTTAGGATTACGGATTAACATTTGCCTGAAACTATTAGACAAGTAACACGCGATGCCCCCCCCCCCCCCCAATAATGGTTTAAATAGCTCATGGATACACACTTTTTTATAAGAATATTTATTTTTAAGAACACAAGCTACGAGTACTGGAAATTTGAAAAAGTTAAGAAACTTCAGTACTCGAAGTGAAACATGCAGAGCTCCTGTTATTGGTTGGTTTTCGAGCTTTCGAAACTGAGTGAATGAATACAGTTCAGTTCAGTTCAGTTTTAATTTTGAAATTCCACTACATACAAAAATCTTTCTAAAATACATACAATTAACTAGAATAACAAATTAAAACAGATGACAAAAAGTGACAAATTTTACAATAAGAGTACATAGAATTTCGTATGGAGAGGAATTTCTTAAGGAGGAGCTCTCTCAGTAGGTAGACTAATCGAGGAGAGAGCACCCCCTAAGCTAAAAACTTATCATTCAATTTATGAAATCTTCTAGTGATTCGATTGATCAATGTAAGGAAGGTCTGGCATACATTTATGTGGTCTGACATATATGCAAAACGATATGGCTGTTTAAAATTTTCGTTTTGTCAAACAAATTGGTTGCTAAGTAAAGGTAAAGGTTAGTTTCGTATTCGATAACGAACGTTGGGAGGGGCGCATCTTCCTGAGCCACGGCATTGTTTGGTAGGGTGGCCAATTCCTTTCCACGCCGGTTTTTACATTCCTAGGATGTATCAGGTAGCTATTCATAATTTCGGCTGAGTGGCAGTCGAACGCCTCAACCACTCGACTACCGCGGCAGCGGTCTGCAATACTTTATACCCGGATTCAATGACCGCGCACCAGTCTAAATGTGGGAGGGCTGAAAAAGGCGTGATAGAAAATTTTTTGAGGCCACGCCCACTAGAACTCCGGAAAACGCCCCTTTTTGAAAGTACTGGCTTATTTCTACTGGGGTTTTATAAACAATCTGATTCAGAGAAGATATCAATAGCTATAAAAATAGATGAAATTAGCTCGGGGATAATAAAACAGCAAGAAAAACACCTAGAAAATGAACAAAAAGGGTTCCCAGTCAAGAAAAACTGTTACTCCTTAGGAGTATACGATTCAATATTGCGTTAATGCATAGTTAGAGTAAACTTTTCAAGTTGGAGCCATGAATATTTACATTGTCTAACGAATGGAACTTTACTATCACAAATGGGAGAAAGTCTTGTGTTTGAGTACGATGATAATAATATGAGTCATTTTGTTATGGATATGGTAATGTTTGGTAACTCAGTATGGGATATGCACAGGTAAATAAATGCATTGGAACATTTATATGGCAAATGAGGAAAACAGTGAACTTAAATAAGATCAAAGTACTTGTTTTAGTATTGGAGATACATTGAAACAGAGAAGACGATAAAAACTATCAAGATCTTTGTAAAGAAAAAGAAAGAATTGCTCTCTTCTGCAGTATTAGAGTATTTGGTATGATAACTCTCAAATTCGATATCAAAACAGTAGACTTGTGTCAGAGGTCATCAAAGCCCATTGGCAGTCTTGACAAAAAGGGTTAATAGGACAGTTTAAAATCTGTCATTCGCAAAAGGCAACTCCACCAACTTTTGACCATGCCCCCTTGGCAGACCCGTTGCTAGCTATTGTGCTGAAGGGCGCTTTCAAGGCCCCATTTGTCAACACAATAGGTGTGTCATCTTTTATTTGCCGACCGGTTTGGAAATTTGCTGGCTAAGCACCCCCAAAAGGCAAAAAGCTCCTCGTTTTCGCAAGACATTTTTTCAAGGGGTTGTTCCAGCCCTTTCGTCCCTTATAGCGACGGGCCTGTCCCTTAGTTGAACTTGAAATAAGCCATCAAACTTAGAATTAATATTTGTTAATATCGAGTTTTCTTTATTTGTTGTGGAGATTTTATCGACCCTTAAGTTGAAAGAAAGAATGAAATTAATTAGAGATTGAATTTGTAGTATTCTGTATTTGTATTCTGTATTTCCTTAATTTAAAGAAATACTTTGTGTATTCAAATATAGCAGAACATAGCATTCGTACTTCAACTGATTCTTAAAACTTTTGTATGCTAGTAACTGAACACAAGTATGCCAATTGTTTGAAGCAGTGGATGTGTATATACTACTAATTCTGGCAAACTTTCGTGGTAATTGTCCATTAATTCTTCTTTTTCTTTGTAAAGCAAAGGGCGTGTGGGGAGGCGACTGCCACTTTGCCACAGATTGCGTCTGTTTCCAAATACGCCATCAGATGAACCTTGACATTGAGTATATATGGAATTTGTACACATTTTCTGAATATCAAGGTATAAAGTGATCACAAAACTATTTTTGCCAGCTCGGAACCCTTGGGCAAATTATTTTATGGGGCCATTTTGATTTTACCCGTTTTCGCGACTCACAACAGGGATCAGTTTTTAATAGTAAACTAAGTACAGCAACATAACATATCATTTGATTAATTTTTTAAAGCCGATTTAAAAAATTGCACCGAAGTTGATAAAAGGGTCTGCCTAAGCTAGTTCACGCTTATTTGATGCCCCCTTTTGACCACGCTCTTTAACCCCATCTTCCTAAAAAAAGTTGACTTATCAATTTTGTAGATTTTAGAAGCTTAATGACAAAAAGAGGACAAAAATTCATTTTAAGATTTTCTTGCTAATTATAGGCTCATTTTGTGAAATCTTTTACCACAACCACTAACCACAATGGTCATTTTTGAAAAGGTTACCAAATATGATTTTCAGAGTTGGTAGAGAAAAAATATTTCCAACCGTTTTAATTTGTACTTTATATTAATAAGAAAAACAAGAAATAAAATAAATTCAGTTTAAACGATAAATCTCTCAACAAGGCTCATAATGAATATGCATGCAACTAGAGATTCATTGTATATTTATTCCACCTGTTCTGTTTCTTGTGCGTCTTCCTCGCCATCGCTGTCTTTAAAAATTGGACCTTTTGCACAACCGCAGAACTCTCCACATGTTAGCCGAGACTTGACATAGCTGCATTTGTTTGTACCACTATTAGAACCTGGATCATTATGAAAATTTTGTTATCCATGACATTTTTGGTATCCACGAACCTTCTGGTGTGTGTAGATTAACTCAATTGAGAGTAGGTTTAGACATAACTTCTAGGAGAACACAGGTTTAGACACAACTTCCTCGATACCACTGATCCAATGTGTTTAGCAAATAAACTACCACCCATTTTATGCTGCTCTGCCAAGAATACGCTATCCACAGAACAATGCTTCTTGATAGAGTAGCCTCCATTTGTGCTTCCCAAAGAGTTGATTGTAATATATTGAACGATGAAGAACTGCTCACACTTCTACTCTGTGGCAATTATGTCCTTAGTGAAATTTCAAATAAGAACACCTTCTGAGCAAAAATATTTTACATCAACTCTACAAACAAATTTATTCAGTTGCACCCCTCTACCCTTCTTCTCTTTTAGCTGCACCCTTCTATCCTTATTATCTTGTGTTTTTACTTGTATGTGCTTATTATGTTTATCGTTGCTGTATACACTTTTTTAAGAAACAAAGGTTGGGTACTCCAGTGTCTTAATGTTCTGGAAATTTCAATACTCACTGTTTCATAAGAGTTTCTTAATAATGATGTCATGAATGATGTTATAAAATGTTCGTGACCTTTTTTTCACGTCAATAGATTCGCTTCCGTTCTGACACTGTATTTAGACGTGGGATATATTTTTATCCCTTGTGTCATTCAGGGCAATCATGTTCTTGGATTTGCAAAATTTCGTTGTTCTCAGTTTTATCATGATTTAATAATTTCATAATTTGTTTGCTTCGAGTACTGGAGTTTCTTAATTTTTTCTGACTGTCCAGTACTCGTTTCTAATAGCCAGTTTCTTTTAAAAAAAATGAGTGTAGTCGTGTAAATCGTCTTGTATTGCGGTATAGTTATGAATTGTCTTGTACCATGTGGTACTGTATTGCTTTTACAGTCTTTTATAAAATTCAAATGTGGATTTAAAACATAAGAAATTGTGTTAGCTTGACTCTGTTGTTGTTTATGTATTTTGTTAATTGTATTATTTTGTAAGCTCTGTGCTGCACTGATGAACCCACAATGGGCGAAAAAGTACTGTCTGCAGATTGAGTATATATATATATATATATGTATAAAAAGCTAAGCATGACTTTATTCCTGTCATTCAATGAGCTGCCTTCCTTCTGTCCATAGCACTTAGCTAACATTGCTTGCTGGAAAGTACAGGAATGATTCCTGTACTTTCCAGCAACACATCATTAGGATTGGCAACTCCACGGCCCGGATGCTGAAGTTGCAACTGAAGTTCCAGTTAAGAATAAAAACGTCTACTCTTCGTCTTACATGCTTGCCAGAAATATTCGGACCTTTTCACACAATTTATTAAGCACCAATTCACATCTACCAGCAGTCACGTAGTTACAAGGGGGTGAAGGATATAATATAGAATTACCCCCATGAGCTTCTGTTTTGCTAAATTTGTAACTCGTCGAGTAAGTCTAGGTGTCGCAGGTCTATAAGCCGTGTGTTATTATCCTAGCCTTGCTTCCTTTTTTAATTATCTTGAGTCTTTTGTAAACTATTCGGTCAGTTCAAAGCATCTTTACGAGTCGAAAAAGGCTTTGTAATTTTTTTGACGTTGTTGGATGTTGAACAGAATCAAGTCCTTGGCATTGGGTGGTGCCCAGTCTTTTTTACGTCCACCAATGTCTTGACATATTGTAGTGAAATCGTTAGCTCACATGACGCCGAAGGTTACATTTTTATAATATGTGATATTGAAATCACTGAGCAGTGATAAGTCGCCAAACGCAGTATCCATATGTAAACATAAGCCCTTAGCAACTTTTAGTGTGCTGGGATCGAAAA